ATATATATATATATATATATATATAACAGTTATCAGATTTATCATTATTGATATACACTTTCACTGACCTTGAATTTGGTCAAGAGCATATTCGAAAGATTAAAATAAAAAATGAGGTTCTTGTTAATTTAAAAAAGAAAAAAAAAACTGTCAATTTAACGGACAAATTGGATTGTTCGACACGAAGTTATTAACAGCGATGTCAGTTTTTGTTCTGCAGCATAATAATTTGGCCTAAAGAGTGAAAAAAGGAGTACAATTACTTGCAGATTGTTCATCTGTTGTTAATTTACTTTGCATCAAAGAATGCTATTTTAACGAACTCTTCTTGTTGACAACTATGTGTGACACATCAGCATTTTTTTTTTTTCCAGGTTACTTGTACATTTCTACTTTTGATACTTGTTATATCAGTTACCTTTTGCTTTGAATATGTTGTAGGTTGTTTTAAGTGATCACAAGGAAGAGATCTTTGTAAATGGAAATCAGCCATGGCAGAGGTTGTAGAAGATTTTTTGAGGAGAGAGAGATTTCAAGGTTGGAGTACCCGGCTTCTAGGCTGTTTGGCCATACAACTTTGCCAAGCTGGAATCGAAGCACCCAGAAGCAAACTGATCTTGCATTTAGTAGCACATCTTCCACTTCAGCCGCACTCTGGTAAATCATCGGTTTTTATGCATTTTTTTTTTTGTTTCTCTCATATTTCGCTTCACTTTGATTCTCATTCTTGACGCATTAGACTGATAAAGTGGATGCCGTTAGTTGGCTGTTGGTTATGTACATTTTTCAATAAAATCACTTTTAGGAGTAAAGATTCATGTTTCTTTGGTCACTAGAAACCTCCAAGATTATTTATCTTCGTGTAATTTGGGGCCGATTTTGTCACTCCCATGTTCCGAAAGTCTTTTCACCGAATTAATAAACCTTGACTGTTACTGGTGTCACTTGTCTTGCGTTTGCGAGGACGAGGAAGATGAACCCCCTATTTTAAATAAGGAAAAAAAGGTACTTACTAACTTTTCTGTTGTTTTTTATATTTTAGCTTCTGACTACATGTTCCTCTTACTTTCGCGTTTACCAATACTTTTTAGGTTTTTTCGCCTGAGGGTTTGTTGCATGAAGATTGTGATGGTTTATCGCAGGCTGTTTGTGAAACTTGCCGAAACGGTGGGGTCTTTGATTGTTTTTGAAATAGTTTTAGTGGTTCTCCTATGATGATTTAATTGCAGGTCTTTCAGTTCGTGTGTGCGACAGTTTTCGTCTTTCTGAAAAGACGTTGGATATATTGAATGCTTTGTGCCCCTGTAAATATCCTTCAGAATTTGATGCAGTACGCATGGTTGCCTATTCTTTATCAATTACTGCTCGCTTAATACTTTCTATTGATGCTCCTTTTGAAGCTGTGATTCGGAATTTTATGGAGACTGCAGTTCCAGGTTTTTGTGAATCTTTTGTAACTCATTTTATTTCCTAAATTTAGTACCACTTCCTCATTGTTGCCCATTCAAATACTAGAATAGTATTTTAGATTTCCGGAATATAAGTGATTTTCGAACGTGGGTCTTGTTTATGTTACTCGCGTTGAAAGCAACTAAATCTTTAATCCTTGGAAACTTGCGATTTGAAAACAATCTGCAGGAATTATTTTTGTACATACAACTGATTCTAAATTTTGCTCAAAAGGTATTGACTTTGTCTTACTAAACTGAAGCACGTTTAACTTGTTGCTCGAGCTTTAAATATTTCAAAAATCGCTGCTTTGCGATAAAGTTTTATTGTTTTGATTTCTTAACCAGTTTTAGTCTTTTTACAGGTGACTCGGATTTTTCTGAATGAAGTGGTTGGGTTAGAAATGAGTTTTGATTTCTCATCGGAGGAAGCAAAAGACGATTTTCCGCTGTTTATTATGAAAGAGTTGTTCAGGTAACTGCGTTTTATTACTATAAACAGCGGTTTTGATAGTCGCTTATATTCAATGAGTTTTCAAAAATTTATTTTAGCCAAGTAACCGATATTTTTCGGGTGATGAATGCATATTTCGTAAAAGTTATTTCACGACGTCCCTTATCGCAACATCCCGAAGCTGAACCTGTTAAATATGTCTGTAGCCACGTCCTCATGTGTTGCGATGGATTAGGCTATGTTGAAACAGTGCGCGATGTGTTCGCGCTTGCGGAGAAGACGGGATTTTCCCAGGAAAAAGTGGCAGAGGAATTTTTCTTCTCCATAATGCGGTTAGCCGAACGCTTACATATGCTTGGGCGGTGTCGTAGTGGAGTTAACACAAAGGCTGTGGTAACTTTTCATTTTTAAAGAATCAAAAAATGCCTTTTTTCTATAAACTTTGAAAAGTAGTACGATTTGCTAATCACATTTGAAAAGTAACAGTTTACTCACAGGAAAACGAAAGCTCGTCATCCGGTACTTTAAACGGTGAATGGAAGTGCCCGTTGTCATATCTTTTTTCTTTATGTTCATCTTTATTGTCTGACTCATCTGACAGGTAGTTTTTGCTTTTAGAATACATTGCTGTGGTTTTTTAAAGAAGAACTTTGTTTTTTTTTTTACGACCAGCGGGAATGGTATATTAAAGCACCACTTCCAGGAAAATTTTTGACATTTGTGTTTCTTGCATTCGTGAGTTTCCTCGCGGCATATGCTCTTGTACGAGTGCCTCTGACATCATTGAACACCTTGTATGTGAAAATGTGATAAATTTGCTGTCAGAAGAGTTTTATGAAGCCCTCGAGTTTCATTTAGCTTGCTTCGTTCCAAAGTGGGTTTGAGTTTTATTAATGCTTGCGTTTGGGATTTTGAAATATTTTTTTTCATTTTTTGGAATACTTTTACGCGATTCTTTTTGAGACTGATATACACTTTTTTTAAGGAAGGACGTAAATTTTGTTTCCTACGAAATGCAAGAATATTTTGCCAAACACCAATCAGATGGCCTTTCTTCCTTACGATATGTCCTGAAATTGCTTCGACTTTGTTTCCCTTGTGGGTTTTCACGGCTCCAATTTGTCTGAAAATTACATTATTAGTTTTTTTTTGTGCAAAATCTTGCAAGAAAGAAGGTTATGCTATCAAGAAATTGTGTTACAGCCGTGTGCTAGAACTTTCTGTAATTCTACTCCAGTTCCTTTTAGATCTTACCGAAGAATGCTGTCATGCAATCGTAGAAGCGGGTTTAAAGCAATATACGTATTGGCAACAAGCTCAACTCTGTAGTCAGGAAAGTTTGGGTACCTCATTTTCCTATGCGCATTTGATATTTGTCGACTTTCTTTGTGAGGTTGATTTTGACGACGGAATCGCAAAACTATGCTATCAGTACGTTTGTTTTGCTTCACAATTTTGAAAAGTATTGATTTTGTTAATCATCATTTTGTTAAAATCTTTATATTTTTTTTACTTATGAGCATGGAATGTTAGCATGAACAAGTCGTAAACAGTTTCAATTTTCCTCTGTTTTAATTTTATCTCAAAATACACTAATTTAGAATGATTATTCGGCCTGTATTGGAAGATAGTGAGACTTGCCTAGATTACTTGATTCCTTGTATGAACTTAGCCGCTAATGTTTTATCTTTAGACGCCTTCGAGCCAGGTGTAAGTTATTAATATATTGCAGTATTTTTTGAATCTACCATTCATTCGTTCTACATGGCTCACATTGTTTTAAGAAAGAAGACTTGTTATTGTGCTTACTGGAGGCTGCTGAAAACATGGTATCTATAGCTAAGCAGGATTTTTCCAACTTTCTGCTTAAATCCGATGCTGGTCGCCGTCTGCAATCAGTTTTGTCTGTTGTAGCTGATTCCTTCCTTATCCTTAAAGGTTTGTATTGGGTAAAGAAGAACTACATGTGAAGTCGGAAAGGTTCTTGCGCGTTTTCCAAGATTTATTGAACCATTTCTCTTTACTAGATAACCTTTAGGTCTCCCTGAACCTATAAAAAGCAGAATTAACGCTCTTTGCTCTTCGTTCATTGATATATTTTTTGGTTATCGGTATCTCGGGGAGCGTTCTTCTGTATTCTACAACTTAGGACAATTAGTTGGACTGTGCCTTAGTATTCAGGGGTCTCTTGATGACATTCATGAGGTACTTAATCATAAGAATTCATGCACTTTGGTTTTCATTGTCAAGTTGTGATTGAATTTGAGAGCCTCTACTTATACCTTACTTAGCGACGTTTAGCAAGTAATGAAATGGTTAACTTTTTATCAGTTGAATTTGAAACTTTAATTGAGTTGACTTATCTTGCTCCTATTGCTTCCAGGCGTTAGATACTTTCTGTTCGAAATGCATGGATTTGGTTCAAAAGAAGGAGCTTCTACCCTTTTGGAATCATTTACTGTGTGTTTTTATTGACTGCTCTTCTAGTAGAAAGTACTGTAGAGGTAGTTTTTTTCTGTTTTATATAGAACTGTTCTATAAGGTTTTTTTGTTATCCTTTTCTCTGATTAATCGTCGCTTTTTGTAACTGGATAAATTTACTATATGTTAAGGTTGCTTTATGCGGAAAGTTGTGAGACCTTCATTATGCTGTTTTTCTCTCCGTTTGTTGAAGACTGTTATCACTGGTTCAGAGTTTGAAACTTTCACAAGTTATGAAAACTTTCTTGTGAGGAAGGTTCTTAAGCTATTTACTGCCACCTGCGCTCGTTCTAAGAACAATATGGAAACCTTGGCAGACTCCAGCGTTAGTCGTTCACTCGTTGACCTTGTTTAATCGCTTTACTACTTTCAGTAGTTTTTTTCTAAGTTAGGATGGAAGTTATTTTAGAGAATGTTGAGAAGGGTCCTGTAATTCTTCAAAGTTATTTATCCTTATTGTTTGAATGAGTTTTATTTCTTTATTTTTTGCAAATCTGTAAATTATTTCTAGTTTGGGGAAAGCAGAAGAGCCTTAACCACTTTCAGATTGCCAAGGAGATTTTTCTTTAGTATTTTTAAGCTTTAATTAGGTAACTCAAACCATTAATAATTCTTTTTAGATTATGTCTGATTTGTGGGAAATAGTTACGCTCTTATCGAGATATTCTTGTTCTGTAGACACTTTTAAAGAAGCGATAAGCACCTTTTCCCGATTTGTTTCTTTCCAGTCGGAACCATTTGAATTGAAGCCGTTGCTTTCGCTGTACTGCAGAACTACCCGGTTTAAGGTTATTTTTTTGTGGTTTTTTAATTTGTTGCGTTTCAACTGCTGGAAGTCTGAATACGATTTTTAGGCGCAAGTACTAGAAGTCATACAAAGTTTAATAGACACTGCGCCTGAAGGACCTACATGCTGTCTTATTTTTCCACAAAGGGCTTTGCCCGAGATCAATTCTTGCAGTTCTGAAACTTCTGTCGAAGCTGTTGAAGTTAAGCCTGAGGTTAGGCTTTAAAACACGGGTTATTTCATTAAGGAGATGACATGCAAAGTGAATTTGGTTTATTTTTAATGGTTTTATATGTGAGTAATAAATTTTCTTTTTGTTTCAGGGAAATTCTTTTATGAATGTTGTTGAACGGTTGTTTTCATTCACTTCATTCGAGAAAACTGGCTCTTCTGAAGTAAAAGGGTCTCCCGTTTCAAGTGACGAGAACACGAGTAACTCGGGAAAGTTGTCACCTGTGGCCGTTGAAAAACCTCGTTACGGAGCTGAAATTTATTTTGATGATTTAGTTCAAGTGGAGCTTTCCTCGGGATTTTTCGTTTCATTTTGGATTCTTCTGGAGAGCCAAACTGGCCAGGTTACTTGTATAAAAATTCGATTATTTTTATTACATTTTTCAAACGTTTTTTTCATTAATTATCTATTGCATGCATGGAATTTACAAGTTTTTTAAGCTTATCTGTGACATAATATTTTATTTCTTGTGAGATTTGCTTTTCAAAGAAATTTGAATTTTCGCTTTTTTCTTTATCGTTAGTTTTCCAGCATATTCCTTCTCGTGTTTTACCAATTTGCTCTATAGGATCAAGTACGTTTAGCCTACACCTTACGGTTGGATCCGATTTAAAGTCTTTTTATGTGGGGTAAGCGTTTCTGTTATTTATAACACCAAGTGTATTATCGTATTATTTTGTTCACAGTTTTGATAAAAGTGGAAACACTAATTCTTTTGAAGTTTAGAGCATATGCAAACAAGAAGAAGATTTATGAAATTATCAGGAAGCATAAAGTAATTCGAAAGAAGTGGTTACATATTTCTTTATGTACATTCAAAAAAAACAGTGAAATAAAATTCAAGGTGAGCAGTTGTGCAGCGCATTTTCTTGAATTTTACTTGATTTTAAACCTTTTGCTTTTTATTTCTTGTCTCTCAAGTTTTCTGTTATCTTTCTTTTTTACATCTTTTTTATTTCACTTTTTTCCACGCTTTTGAGTGTTTCTTCCCATATTTATCCATGAGTTCTAGGTTTTATTGCGAGATAGGCGCTGTACTTCTATTGACGGCTTTTTTACGGCTTTGGGGGAACCAGTCGGATTAAGATTCAACTTTGGTGCAATCTTAGGTGACAGTGATGACTCAACATTTCGTTACAAGCTTTCATCAGTCTTTGGTTTCAGTGGTTGGTAGCTTTTTCAGAAGCCACTTATTGCTTCATCATTGTCGTAGTTGATTTTCTGTTTTTGAGCTTGTTTTTTTGTATTTAAGGCGTCTAAAGATAGTTGGATTTAGGATTCAGGTGGAATCTATCTCTTATTTGGATTTTCGTCTTCCGAAAGTTTTAGGGATTTTTTAATAGTGATTACTTTTTTCACCTAGGATTACTATCTGAAAAGCTTTCTCTTGTCTTGTATTCCTTGGGTTGCGATCTTTGCTCCCTAGCCGAGACGAAGACGAGTACTTTGGAATCTTTATTTCATTTCCCAATAAATTTCTCGCGTGCTGAGTTGACAGAGAATGAAGACAACTTTTCCGACTTTGTTGGAAGTCTTCCAATTCTTTTGAAGTATTTACAACAAAGCCTTCTTTTTATCTTCAGGTGAAGCTTGCTTTCATAAATTTTAAATGTATAGTTTTTGAAAGTTGCCTAAGCCCTTAATACAGATTTGAATTTTCTCCTTGAAAATACTTGAAGGGGCGCACTTCATAATCGCAATTAGGCATTCGTATTGTTGCTGAAAGTTATAATGCTTTTTTAGCCTAAAAAGATGAATGATTCTTTCAAAAATTTTATTCCAGAAGTTCAACTCCTGCATCTTTTGTTAGTTATGTTTCACAGCCAGAAACCGATCAAGTTCCGGAAGGCTCGGAAGGGTTATTGTCACTGGTTCCAAAGGATGGCGCTGTAGCGTGGACGTGTGACATCGTTCATTGTCATAATGTAACACTTCAACGTTGCTTTTATCCTCTGGGCTCAACTCGTTTGTTCATCTACTTTCTTGCTCATGTAAGTGGAATTTTTTTTGCTTTGCAATATTTATACTGCTTCTGTAATTTTAGTAAAAAATTGTTCTTTTAAAAGAGTTAATAAGGCAGGTATTTCATTGTATACTGTACATAAACGTATTTCAGGCAATTGATAGTCATTCAGAACACCAAGTTCAGTCACTGGCGCTGAAACTAATTTTAAAGTACATCAGAAGAGGAGGTTTGGTAAAAACCGAGTTTTGTTTTTCAAACGGATGGGATGTTATTATTCGTTGTTTCTCTTCACCCCTCGCAGTCATTGGACTTTCTACTGTCTCAGTATGTTTGCTCCATCTTTTTTTGAACTTGTATTGTTTGTTGCTGATTGTTCGTCTCGTCACTGAAGTTTTAACTGTAAGTAAAAAGTGAAGATATCAAGTAAAATTTAAAGGTAGTTCATACTCTGCTTATAGTATATCCTGTTCTATTAGTAGTATTAAAACGTTTGTTCCGCCTGTTGTGACATTTGCAGTTTTAGTTCGAATGATTTTTAATTAAATTTCCATTATTTAATCCAATAAGTTGTTTACTCTTCAAAAGCTACTTTGATTTTCAAGATTAGTTTTTGGCACATTGTCCAAGTCAAAATTTGCTGTATGTATCATGCTGTATTTTTTTTTATATCGCAATTTGTGACCCTCTGTTTTCATAATATCATTGTTCTTCAGGTTATAACTGAACTTAGCATCAGTAATTTAAAAGGCGACCAGGGATTTATGAATTCTTACGCAGTCATATATGACCCGGAACTATTAAAAAGCTTTAGCTGCTGTTTGAACATTTGGTAATCTTCTAATTTTGGTATTAGTATTGTGAGTACTGACTTCAAATGTTTTCCGAAGAGCATAGTCATGAAAGCTTTAGGCGTGGTGATGATAGGATGGTCTATTGGGCTCGCTTGCTTGAAGTCGTGGCTGATTGCGTAAGCAATAACGCATGTTTGTTTATTCAGTTCAATAGAGCTCAGTTACGTCGGACAGACTTCCTAGTAAACTTGTTTCATGTAAGTTTTTACAAAATATGAGTTATTATGAGAGAGATTACAATGAATACTATTTTGAGGTTTTGATTAGTTCTTAGTGTTATATCGTTTGGTCTGAAGGAGCCGCCTGTTTTATTTTGTGGGCAATAAGTATTGCTTTCTATAAGTTTGTTTATATGAATATCTTCATATTGAATGTAAATCCTGTTAGAATCTTTGGGTTATTTTACCTATAAAAGGTATTGCGCGTTTCTTTGAAAATTTGTAAAGATTTAAGTTTGATAAGTTGTAGAAGCAGATTACTTCGTGATTGATTTTCTGCTCTGAATTTGAAGTATACATGAAAGTAGCTATTGGAACTTTGCAGCTTATCGGCTCTTACAAAATTTAGTTATTTGCCTTGCTGACTTAAATCCTCGGTTGACTCTTAGCGGAGGCATTTGAGTCAGCAGTATTTCTCTGAGCCGCTTTTTTTGTGAGCCTACTTCAAACAGTTACTGAGGGCAAACATCGGAACTGATGAGTCCTTCTGCGATAATTTGTTTGAGGTGGCACCCAACCTTACTTCTTCGTGCCACGCGCGGCCGAAACAGTTGTTTAATTCTTCATTAGATGCTGCAACTTACAGGCAGAAATTGAAGTCAAAAAGTTTTGTTCCACTAAAATGTTGTCAGTAAGCGTTTATAACACGCGCAATACCACACTTTCTGAGCAGATTCACTTAAAAGTCCACAACCATAGTGTAATTTAATTCAGAATCTTACAGTAGGGATTTACATCATTTTTATTGTAAATCTTTTGTGAACTGCACAACTTCTTCAGCATTTCAGTCTCGCCCTTTACTTGCGATGCTTTATCAAAGAGCCTGTTAGAATTGAATTCTTTTTAGACCTGTCAAGGGATGTTGCAAGATGAGCGCAATTTTCGTTTGACTGGTGATGCTGGAGCTAGTGCTGTGAATTCCATTACGCGAATTACTTCGGCACTAAGTGAACAGGATGAAACCGTGAACTCAATTTTGATTTTATGGAATTTTGTATTTTTGTCGCATCCTGCCGTTGACACCTATTTAAACTATAAGATACGTGGACATGTTGACTGGATTAAAATAGGTTGCTTTTTTTCCTATTTAGCTAATAATTTACTTCGATGATGCGCTATGATTTCATCCTTAAAAGTTTCTAATTTCCAGAATTTATGAGAGATGAGGAGACGGAGATAGTGGAGAAGGAGTCGGATCTAACGAAACGTTTGCGAGAATACGTTCAAGTGTTGGGGAGAAGTATGTACTATTTTTTTTCAGTTAGATCAAATCTGATAGTCTTTTTGCATACCAATGCCACTGGTCCTCAGTCTCGGGTTGCTCAAGACCTTCCTTATTTCTAATTGAAAGTTTACAGATAGACTTTCTACCGTTGCTTTTTGGGTTTTGAACTATATACTTGATCAGTAAATTTCAAAAGTCATTCAGAGCGTGTGTCAGAAGTGTGGGCTACGCAGAGATCTGTAATAGCGCTACGTGATCTCTATGAGCAAGAAAAAGAGCAAGGAACCGAGGATATTTTGCCAAAACACGTAAAAAGTCCTTCTAAAATTGTCGATGTAAGTTCAGTGGACTACAGTTTATGGATTTTTTGTGCTCAAGTGGGTCTTATAGTGTGTTTCAAGGGTTGGAAAGTTGACGCTAATACTGTGTAAATTTATTGAATGATAGTAGTTTGTACTGCAAGCAATTAATAAAGAAAACACTACTAAGGTTTCGACATTGGATAGGCAATACAAAAATGATGATGTGTCTGACAGTTCGGAGGGCGTGTCCGCAAACTGGTTTACTGATCTTCGAACTGGTAAATCTTTAAGCCGTAGATGATTCTTCTAAACAATTTATTCATGCGTTCAGTTGGGCTCTTAAATATTAAGTTACTGTATTTCTTGTGCTAAAGCTTACGATTTTTCCACTGAGTTATAGCTTTACAGGCGTTACTAATATAATATCTGCTTTCGTGCAGAATGGAGCTGATGATATGGTCAGCAACATATACGGTGCAATAAATTGGCAATCAGTAATCGTTCTGTTGACCAATCAGGATGATATAAAGTTGAGGAACTCGGTTTTTCTATTTTTCCAGAACTATATGGTGAGTGAGCATCAAGAAACTGCTTTGATTTGATTTTTTGTTGTTTTTAGGTTGTTGACGCGAATTGCATTGTTAGTCCTTAGAGGATTTTACATTGTTTTTATTATACGGTTACCATTTTAAAGAGTACCCACTGTTGTTTTTTGCTACATATTATTTATAACATTGATTTTTTTAGCTCAGGGCGCCTACCAAGGTGAAGCAAGCGTTTATCAAGGGTTGCGGATTTGCTATATTAGGGAATCAGTTGCGTGGCTATCGAGTTACGGCACAAATAGCTGACTCACTTTTTAGCCTTTGTTGCGGAGAGTTTGTCCGTCTTGATGAGGGGTTAGTTGTTGGTCCTCGCTGATCGCTGTAGGTTCCATTTGCTCGATGAGAAACGCTTGAGGAACAATTTTAGGCTTGATCCGGGACGAATTCAAGCAATTTCTGTAGACCAGTTTAGCTGTTCTGCATTTGATGCTTTGTTCGTGTTGTGGGAGGAGAGTGCTTCTGTTGACAATGCACCTATTTTTTGGAACATTTCTTCAGCGTTTTCCAAGGTCTAAAATTTTTTTTAACGTTTTTTATACCGTTTAGGAGGAATAATTCTTTTAGATCTTCGACTTCAATTCGCTTTTAATGCAAGCTATGATGGACGCCCAGTTTTGTGATGTCCTTGCTGGAGTTTTACGAAAAATTGCGGCTATTCCCTTTGAGTAGGCTTTTTGCTTCATTTATTTCTTATAAATATTTTGTTCTTATCTGTAACGATGTAGATTCCGTATTCAAGACGTTTTTTTAGAGAAACTGATGTCGAAAATGTTTTTGCGTGTTCTCCCTTATTTGAATGTTGGGTTTCACTAGCTGAGCAAGTAATTACATCATGTGTGTCATTCAGGTGTGTTTTTTATTTTTAAAACCTATTTTGTTTTTTTTACAGGAGGCGTTGCTCCGTAAAGGGGCATTCCTACCAAATTAACTTCATCTTTAGGAGCTACAGCTATCACACCTCATACATGAGTTACTTTGGTAGAAATTTTCAAGCGTTCTCACTTTTCATAAGTATTCTAATATATTTTTGCGCAGGATTGACTTCATATATATATATATATATATATATATATATATATAT